GCCTATGTGCGCGTTCGTGGGGAAGCCATGCGCATGCGTCGTGGTAGTGTCGAAGGTGCAGATGTAGCTTCTTCTTACCTCTGCGTAGTCTTTCGGGGCAACTCCGGGTAGATAAAAGCCGATGGCTACAGGCAGCACAACCAGAAGGACACAGAGAATCGGCAAACACGACCGGGATGGAGACGACGCCATCGCCATAGCCGTCGTCATGATTGCACGCAAAAGTGAGACCCGCTCACACTCCCAGAGCCCAAGAGCTCGCCCAAGCAGTCTTCCAACCTTTTCCCTCTCCCCAATCCTTCCCTCCTACCCTACCCTACCCTTCCCTCCCCTCCCCTTCCCTGCCCTGCCCTCTCCTATACTACTCGCCTGCCCTTCGTGTACCCCTTCCAGTCAACAGACGAGAGAAGTCCTTGTTCTCGCGCAATCTGTCGCCATGGCATGCGATCCTTCCAAAGACCGGGGGCAGTATGAAAATCGTCCACCCACATTCGCTGCAATGTAACTCTCCCGCCCGACAACGCCCAAAGCACGCAGCAGCCCACACACAGAGAGGGAGCTCGACTGCACCCGTCGATTCAATACCGTCCCGCCTCAGCGCGCTCGGTCGACCTGCGGACAACACCAGGACCTCCCGCCCACCAGCCGGCCCAGCTTTCCTCACCACCAACCTCTGCGCCACACGCTTTGTTCGCTAAGGCGGAAAGCATGATACCAATTCATTGAGGTGGCCTACTGCAGGTAGTGTTCTGCCGGATGCCGGAAGGCAGTGCGAGACCCTGCCTCTTCACAACGAAACCGCGGCCGCTCAAAACCCGGTGCTTCCTACACGCACAGGAAGCGAACGTGTTGGGGTAAATGGTGTCTTGCTTACGATACGGTGTTTTTTGTTTTGTTTTTTTCGGGAAAAAGCGAGGGACCTCACAAACAACCCGGAACAGACAACTCTGTACTGGGGCCTGGACCCACTAGCGAGTACCATTACCCAGTTTCTTTTTTTTTCTTTTTTTTTTTTAATTTGGACCATTTCTCGATTTATGCGTGTCATGCTAATCTTCTCTGTATCGTTCCAATTTTAAGGGATGTCCCGAAGGACTACCATTACCCAGTTTAGGTAGCGGGGTAACCCGACGACACTTGGCTGAGCCAATTCTACCTACCTAAAGCCTGAAAAGGAATTAGGAAACTCCAACAAAATTGGCCCTTGTTGCCAGAGGACCGAAGAAAGAACAGAACAAATTCATACCAGAAACCATTACCTACCTATAGGCCCTACCGGGTGGATGTGTAGGGGATAGATACCAGGTTTGGGTATTGGGTAAAGGGGGAGAGGGGGGAGGGCGGGCGGGGGGAGAGTTGAATAGAGAGGTGGGGTAGAGAGGTGGGGATCAGATTATGAGAGGTCTTCTACTTCTAATTTTTAATTATTTCCTTGTTTTCCTTCTATCTCTACGCACTACCCTCGGTCTCTCCTATTTATTCTGCCCTACCCTGGACAGCCTTAGAGGTCCGTCTAATACGACCGAGTGGATCATTCGATCCCCTTCCATCCTGGCACTCTCTACCACGACTTCCCTCTTGCCTCCTACCGCGGATAACGCAACCGAATGCCCTGGTTGGTCTACCTAGTTAAACCACCAGTACCTAGCGGTTGTTAAGGCCCGTGGCTCAGCCTACCGGTAACCCGAACCTTGCCGAGCCTCGAGCTACCGGTAGGTACACAAAAAAAAAAAAAAAAAAAAACGACAATTTTTCTGCCCAAAAAAACAAGAAATAGGAAAACAAAGAAGGCTCGTGGCTCCAGTACTAGTAACATTTGCAAAACATGGGTGAATCTTCCGTGTGAACATGGAAAGATACACCGTGATGATTTTTGTCTTTTCTGCATGTCGAACCATGACTGACGCGGAGTTGTGTGTGTGTGCGTGTGTGAGAGAGAGAGAGAGAGAGGGAGAGAGACGCCGAGTTTGGCGCACCAAACTCGGCATCTCCCTCTCTCTCTCTCTCTCTCTCTCTCTCGGGAGATAGAAGCAGGCGCGTTGCAGCCGTTGCTCTCTATGTGCAAAATGAGAATGAGTCTTCCACAAAAATGCGGCTAGATTCACCGTGATTCTTTCAAGTCTGAAAGTGCGAGCGTGCGCGTGAGAGAGAGAGAGAGAGAGAGTCTGGTTCCACTACTCCTGAAATTTGCAAAACGAGAGTGAATCTTTCGTGCGAACATGGAAAGATACCCCGTGATGATTTTTGTTTTTTCTACACGTCGAGCAAGGCCCACTGACCGTCTCTCTCTCTCTCTCTCTCTCTCTCTCTCTCTCTCTCTCTCTCTCTCTCTCTCTCTCTCTCTCTCTCTCTCTCTCTCTCTCTCTCTCT